GTAAATGTTTGTTTAATCTAGGTGCTGTTATTTTCTATGCGTAGGTAAATAATAACAAAACCGAGTTTCGCGTTCACATAATTTACGCGAATTAGTATGCGAGTGATCACCATACTACACCTGGTCTTAAGTCACGTTTTAACCCAGTTTCAACACTCACAAATATAATGTGATTATATTACTTTTGATTACAGCTTATTTGGATTTTGTTTTCGTCGCAAACAAATTGGTGTAAACCATTTATCTCAAGATAGACTATAATTGAAAATGAAAAACTATACCATATGAATGAAAGAATGAATGAATGAGTGCTTTTATTGTACGCCATAAATAAAAGGATAATCGATACAATTAAGTGGTACAATCGGCAGCCTTATCGCTAAAAGGCAATTTTTTCCAATTAACCGCAGGTTAGACTGGACTTTTACCTAAGTAGATGGGCAGTAGTTGGTGTCCTACATGGCGAGAAAAACATGTTTTCATATATAAACATACATACATGCTCATACATAAAATATATAATAATAAATATAACAGTACCTAAACAAAGTATAAACGTATACAACAGAAGTAGGATGAAAACGAAAGCATATTATACTTGAAGTGATAAATAATATTCTTTTAGCATATTTTTAAAACAGTTAAGTAATGGAGCGCGCATTAGTTCTTACGGCAATGGCGATATGTTCAATGGCGCTGCCGATTGAGCCAAAAATAAAAGTAACTGAATTTATGTCAGTCAATTAGTAGCTGCGATATGTGGGATTAAAAAATGTTCCAAAAAAAAAATGGTTTGCTAGTAACTTATTACAAATTGTTTTAATCAAATACGCTATCATTTGTGTTTATGGAGACTGTTTTGGGCAGCCTTAACGTAACAATGGCGTCTCCATGCCTTTGATAGCCATGGTTTTTTTTCTTTAGTATTACATAGTTTGTGTATCTGTGGTATTACTATGACATCATCGTTTATTAACTGTGACCGAAACGACCAAATAATGTTTGCTAACAGTATATCACACGTAATTCTTAACGTTTCTGCAATTGTGTCGTTGTTCTGCTGGATAGTAACATACATACTTACTTTCGCATTTAGAATGTTAATATGAATGATGTATGGTGTACATCATATGTATGGAAACTGTTTTAGAACACATTTCGTTAGTGTAAAACTAGTTTTACAGATACTGCGCCAAGTAATGATGTTAATAATCTTTGATTATATATTTGCCTCAAAGGTAATGAATTATTACAATTATATCATGTTTGAATACGGTATAATTAAGTGTGTGTATAAGTTATTTCATTGTACCGGATATTATAATACACATTTAAGAATACTCAACCATTACAAAAAAAAAACAACAACAAAATCAGATTAGAATACAATACACAGTAAAATGAAATTCCACATTCGTTCACATTTTTGTCAAAATAATAATAGAAGAACAATGATGTCAAGTTACTTATTTTTGTCATTTATGTACTCATCGATTGAATAGTAGCACTTCTCTAACAAAAATGACTTAAGTTCACTTTGAAGTATGTATTGACTGTCAATTTTTTTGAACTTTAAAGGCAGGCAGAGGTTTGAATCGTCACACAATGTCTTGCAACGTTCAGTCTTTGTGAAAACTGATTTTTCACACTTTTCCGCGTTTTAGTTTTCTATGCTTTCTTTATGAACAATATGTCGATAAAAAATACAATATAATACCAAAAGTTTAATGTATAAAGATATAGAAATAAATGCAGCATTTTACAAACAGTTAAAAAAATACCAATGCTACTATGACACTGGTCATCAATGGTTTTGTTGCCCTTAATGTGAAAGTTGTCTCGAATAATTTTATGCATACAATTTATAAAATTGTGAATGATTTTGGAATATTAGCTCTGTTTTTTTTAATATTAATTTTCCTATTAGACTATAAAACGCAGAATTAAACAGTTAGTATATTTTTTTATATCATTTATTTATTATCAAAGTGTCACTATTAGTTTGTTTAAGTTTTTGATTAATGTACGTAGAATTAAAAAGAGAAAAATCTTTTAAACTATAATTATAATTCAAAGAAACGCTTTTCGTCTATAGGTCCCCAAATTGGGGACAATTTCTTTTCAAGGACCAGCAGTAATCTGCCATCATGTGACGATTCCATCTACCACGATACGTTTCTGATACGTTTCTTCCATCACTTTTAGGTCTTGGTGGAAGCGTTCTCTCTGTTCTTCAGTGTAATCTCCTAGATTGTCGAAAAAATTATCCAGATGACTGTGGAGAAAGTTTAGCTTTATGTTCATATTTGCTCCTAAATTCTGAAGCTTCCCAACATCTGTTGCACAATTTCTATATAATTTGGTGCTTTATAGTTACCTAAAAAGTTTTTTTACTACTCACACAAAACCTCTCCATGCTTAACGTTCAGCAAAATTTATAAAATTTTGTGAAATTGTTGTTTTTTATCAATGTTTGTATTTGGGAATCGTCAACTATCCCAGCTTTTTTCCATACGCAGCTTAGGATTTTTTTAATATAAATATAATTTAAAACCTTCTCCTTCCTTGTCCAACGCTTTGACAAACTGTTTCATTATACCTAACTTGATATGTAATGGCAGAAGTATGATTGTTGCTCATTTATTACATTTACTTTACCAACAATTAAGGATTCTCTCATAGGCCAAAAATTTTATTCTCAGTGAACTTGCTTTTCTCTGCTGTCCAATACACAAATAAAGCAAGGGTATTTGGTGTATCCACTTTGCTGACCAAGTAATGCTGCTGTGGTATTATATTTATAGTTATTATCCCAAAAAATAATACTGAAAATGAAAATATCTTTATTCAAGTAAACTTGTTACAAGCACTTTTGAATCGTCCCAATTTTTTTTTCCCCTACCACTTGTTCAGGACGTCTTTTAGCTGACAAGAAGAACAAGCGAAAGAAACTTACCTGCTCTTTATCATAAGTAATGACATTTACAAAATCATGTCATTACCAAAATAATATGTATTATCACAATAATAAATACAAATACAACTTTCAAAGTCTATAAGACATAGTTTGTACATATAATTAGTCGTTATAGAACAAAGTGAAGGCTATTAATTCCATGCATTGCGATCCTTAAAATAATCATCAACATTATAATAGCCTTTACTCATAAGTATGTTCTTTACATGAATTTTAAACTTATTTATGGGTATATTGTTAAGTTTATTTTAATTTCTTGTGTTAAGATTATGAACATTACTTTTTTTTGTGAAAAAATCGTAATGTTTTCTTATGTACATAATATTCTCATAGATGTATTGAGAGGCAACAGTTAAAATATTTATTTCTTTAAATATTTCTCTGAGCGATTCTCTAGACCGTAAATTATATATAGTGCGGACAGCTCTCTTTTGTAGAATAAAAATATCTCAAATGCTAGCCGCAGAAGCCCACAACAATAGACCATAAGTCATTACATCATGAAAATATCTAAAATATACCAGTCTTGCCGTTTCAACATTTGTCAAGAGTCTAATTTTCTTAACAGCAAATGCTGCAGAACTAATACGGAACTTCGATTCGATAGTCGAATACATATCACTTAAATCTCCGTTGCCGAGTGGTTCGCACGTCGGTTTCAAGGTGTCGCCATCTTTGAGGTCCCGGGTTTGATTCCCGGCCGGGCAACGGAGAAAATGAACTTTTCTATATTGTCTCGATTCTGAATGTTGTACCTTCGTTGTCTGAGATACTCCATAATACGGGGGCTTTAGCTACTCATCTTGGAATCTGAGCAATGAATGTGATGTTGTTATATATATATTTATTTAAAATCATTTCCATGTGATTTAGACAGTAACCCAATTGAATATGTCTATAAAGTAGCGACTCATAGATATAAAAAAAGTATTATATCTTTTAACAATATATTGTTAGAAGATATAATTCTTAAGGTATACCATATCTACAGAAAAAAAACAGTTTGTTGATGAGGAGCCAACGACACGAATATTATCACAATCTATGTCAAATTGTATATATGTTATTGTAATGGAAAGAGATTTCACTGCTTAATGATGGCATTTGCCAATTAGACTTCTTTGTCTATATATATAAAAATGAATCGCAAAATGTGTTGGTAAGCGCATAACTCAACAACGCCTCGACCAATTTGGCCAAATCTTTAAAATGTTCGTTGAAGTTCAAGGATGGTTTTTACGGCGAGAAAAATTAGAATTATTGCTGGAAAAACCCTAAAAATAGCCCTTTTCTTTTTCCCATACAAATGATTTGTAACTAAAACGTAGTCAATTTGAGCTTTATTGCTATGGTATAAAGTTCATATTAAATTACAAGCACTCACTGTTGTCTAAGCAATGTAGGTGTGTTCCTAACGTCAAAGATCATATCTAATCATATCTGTCATGATATTACAGCCAGAGTCTTTAGACAAAAGTTGAAATCTTTAATGGATTTCATCGTAAAACATAATGTGTTTGGTGAGACACGCTGCTGGATGTATTCTGTGGAGTGGCAGAAACGAGGATTGCCACATGCACACATTTTGATTTGGTTGGTTGAAAAGATAAGGCCAAATGAAGTTGATGCAGTGATATCAGCTGAAATCCCTAATGTACAAGTAGATCCTGGATTGCATGAGGTAGTTGTCAAAAACATGATACATGGTCCCTGTGGAACTCTTAATCAAAATTCACTGTGTATGATGGATGGTAAATGTTCAAAACGATATCCACGGACATTAATATCGGAAACAATTACTGGTAATGACGGTTATCCATTGTATCGTCGCAGATCGACAGCAGACAATGGAAAATCAACAATTGTCAAATTAAATCAATAAGATATTGAAATAGATAATCGTTGGATTGTTCCATATTCACCCATTTTATCAAAGACATTCAAAGCACACATCAACGTTGAATCTTGCCATTCAGTGAAATCTATTAAATACATTTGCAAATATGTAACCAAAGGGAGTGATATGGCTGTGATTGGAATTGGTGCAGAGAATTCCAATGATGAAGTTACCCAATACCAAATGGGCCGCTATGTCAGTAGTAATGAAGCAGTTTGGCGAATATTTTCTTTTCCTATTCATGAGAGACACCCTTCTGTTGTTCACTTAGCTGTGCATTTAGAAAATGGACAAAGAGTGTATTTTACAGCACAGAACGCAGTACAAAGAGCTGCTCAGCCACCATCTACTACATTAACCAGTTTTTTTGAGACATGCCAAAACGATGATTTCGCACAAACATTGCTATATTCTGAAATGCCTGGAATCAATCCTCAAGGAGATTCATACGACGGAAACAAGGAAAACCAGTTCCAGGATATACAGATGTATATTCCACCGATGCGATTGGCCGGATTTATTCAGTACATCCAAGCAATGATGAATGTTTTTATTTACGACTGCTATTAGTCAATGTACGTGGCCCAACATCATTCCAACAGTTACGAACTGTTGATGGTGAATTGTGTGGATCCTACAGAGAAGCCTGTCAACGTTTGCAATTGCTTGAAAATGACGCTCATTGGGATCAAACTCTCAATGATGCTGTAATATCATCACACGCTCATCAAATACGAACATTGTTTTCTATAATCATATCTACATGCTTCCCATCAAACCCAATTGATTTGTGGATCAAGTACAAAGATTATATGTGTGATGATATTTTGTATCAAATACGGAATAGAATGGGAAATCCAAGTATACAAATCAGTGAAGAAATTTACAATGAAGCATTGATTTCAATTGAGGACATGTGCTTGATAATGTCAAACAAACTATTAATTCAATTAGGCCTGACTGCGCCCAATCGTCCAATGCATGACGCTTTTAACCAAGAGTTGCATCGAGAAAAACTGTATGATCTCAACGCTTTGAAAGAATTAATTCAAACAAATCTTCCACTGTTAAATGAACAACAGAAGTATGTATTTGAAACTCTTATGAAAGTAACAAATGATGAAACTGGAGGGATTTACTTCTTAGATGCACCTGGTGGTACAGGAAAAACTTTTTTGATTTCATTAATATTAGCAACAATTCGCTCACAAAATAAAATTGCACTTGCACTCGCTTCGTCGGGAATCGCAGCAACTTTGCTTGAAGGTGGTCGAACAGCCCATTCAGCATTAAAATTGCCATTAAATATGCAAAGCAATGAAACTCCAACCTGCAACGTTTCGAAGAACTCTGCAATAGCAAAGGTTTTGCAGCAATGTAAATTGATTGTTTGGGATGAATGCACGATGGCACATAAAAATCTTTGGAGGCTTTAGACAGAACCTTAAAAGATCTACGGAGCAATAATAACCGATTTGGTGGTGCAATGATTTTATTAGCAGGAGATTTTCGTCAAACATTGCCAGTGATTCCACGATCAACGCCAGCTGATGAACTCAATGCATGTCTAAAGTCCTCCAATTTGTGGAAACATGTCAAAGTACTTCATTTAAGCAAGAATATGCGTGTCGAGTTGCAAAATGACCAATCTGGAAACATATTCTCTAAACAACTCATTGACATTGGTAATGGCAAATTTCCTATAGACATGTTGACTGGCTGCATTAACTTTCCTCAAAGTTTTTGTCAGTTAACTCGATCAAAAGATGAACTTATTCAGAAGGTGTTTCCAGATGTTTCTCAAAATTACAGAAACCATGATTGGTTGAGCGAACGAGCTATACTGGCTGCAAAAAACATAGATGTAAATGAATTAAATTTCAAAATTCAAGAACAAATTACAGGCGAATTGAGGATATATAAATCAGTTGATTCGGCTACTAATCAAGATGATGTAGTCAACTATCCACCGGAATTTTTAAACTCGCTGGATTTGCCAGGATTGCCACCTCACAATCTTCAATTAAAGGTTGGATCGGTGGTTATAATGTTGCGAAATATCAACCAACCGCGTCTTTGCAACGGTACACGGTTAGCGATAAAAAAATTACTAAACAATGTGATAGAAGCAACTATACTCAAAGGAAAGTATAAAGGAGAAGATGTTCTCATACCGCGCATCCCGATGATTCCGACTGATGTGCCATTTGAGTTTAAACGACTACAGTTTCCAGTGCGGCTTGCTTTTGCTATGACTATAAACAAGTCCCAGGGGCAATCATTAAGTGTTTGTGGTATTAATCTAGAAAACCCATGTTTCTCACATGGTCAATTGTATGTTGCCTGTTCCCGTGTTGGAAAACCATCAGATTTGTTTATCTATGCGCCAGGTAATCAAACAAAAAACATCGTATACCACAAAGCACTACAATGATAATAATAATAATTATGATTCACATGATTAACAATAAAGCGATTACTTACTTTTAAATCCTTATATATGTTTTATTTAATTATTTTTTATTCACAACGCCCTATCACAAGGGTGACGGTTCTGTTCAGGAGAATTTTTTTAAATACGTAGGCAAAAAAACTGCCACATTACAAATCTTTTTGACAGGACGAAGTCTGTCGGGTCAGCTAGTATGATATAAAAATAAAGATGTCGATAATATATAAAGATGTATAAGATATATGTAGGTATGCAAATGATTTATCTGTACATAAGTAGTCTAGCCGCTTTATTCAAATAAGCGAAAACGAAAATGGATTTAGAGTAGATAATGCTGCATTTGTCTATTTCCATATGAGTGACAGTGATAAAGTATAATCCAACCACCCGTTTTACTTGAGTATGTAAGTACTTAAGTATTCAAATTCTATGTCTAAGATATTTTAACGAAATGTTTCGATGTATCGAAAATGTTGGTGTAAGTAACTGAATATGGATATTCTTTAATTTTTTTTATTGTAAACAATGCCTGCAAATTTGCGATCGGTGCTTCTTTTAATGTGTATTAAATGTTCTATAAAGATTAATTTAGAACGTAGTTTCATTCAATTATATTTTTGGTATCATCACCAGCCCATCGATGTCCCCAAAACTGGGCTCCGGTCATTGTATATTAACGACTGCTGATGTAGCCGGGACTAATGACTTAATGTGCGTTTCGAAGTGCGTTTGAGATAAGAAATTTTGGTCACCTATCCTGTGAGCGGCCATCGTGAACTTAACTACAAATGTATCGTAATCTCTATGGTAGCCACTACGTAATCGAGCGCTTTTTGGTATTATACCGTTCCATATTTGATTACCACTCCACGTCGTTTTTCGATCTATCCATAGAATATTATTACTTTGACTTAATAATTACCAGTATTTATCTGATAATTAAGTCTTATTATCTACTTAAATTTTTTAAGAAAGACGAAGAGAGAAGAAAATATTTTGATCGACTATCGGCCAGTTGCACAACCGCCCAGTAAGGTTTAATGATGTCTTTAACCTCTAATGAATGTCAAATTTGTATGGGTAATGACGCTTTAAACTAATGACAGCTTAAAAAAAATTAATGAACGTCTGTGCAACTGACTGTATAAATAACATAAACTCTTCTCTACAGAAGATGTTCTCACTAAATTATTATGGCTCGGTGAAATAAATTCCAATTTCCAGTAATAACAAAGAAAAAGACAGTGCTACGACCATAAAAATTCTCATTCATCGGCGGCGTAGAAGGCGATGTAATAAAAAAATGGAATCGGCCATTAAACTTTATCTATGAACGGGAGGGCGCGACGCAAATATCAAGCAACATAAATTATGTCTGTAGACAATCATTACTTCGCGATATAGCTTTTAAGTGTGCTCTAGCATTTACTTCATTATGTAAATTATAAAGGAATACTGAGTTGTTCTTTTGAGTAATACTCATACATTAGTAGAAGTAAGTAACCGAATACGGAATATAATCCTTAATCCAATAGGAATATTCAAATTCCTTCTTAAATTAGAATGATTCCTAATCAGTGGAAACTGTATAAATCTATCTAAACTAATATTATCCATGTCTTTGAAATTGGTTTTATTTTATGGTTAATGGTTAATACATAAAAAACGATTTATTATTTTTAATTTATTTAACGATGTGACACTTGGTTTTTCACATAGAAATGAATTTTGTTGTTAATGTAAATAAATGTAAATATAGGTTTTTTTTTATATTTCCCAGAAACATTAACATAATGATCTTTATGGCACACTCATAAATCCTAAAAATCTAGTTTGTATGAGAGAAATAAAAAGTTATTTTGCTATTTTTTTTTCCAGTTTTCTTTGAATAAGAACTGTATTATATTTAACGAATTTTGATAGCTGATTTTGAGTTTTGAACTCAGGAACAACTGTTTTTTTTATAACTGTTCTAGTTTTTTGACTTTTATGTGAAATGTTTTTTATAAATGAGGATCATTCATTCGAGTGTATGTTTCATAAGTTTTATCTCATCTTCTATTGCCCCAGTAATTGTTACGCTTCACATATTTTTTTTAGAATTTTGGGAAAATAATGAAGTAACCGGACCTAACTTCGGATTTTTGTGGACACCTTTTGGAAGCCTTAAATAACTTCTTGTATTATTCTCAGTATGAATTGTAGCATTGATATGGAGTAGGTAAACTTTTGAAATCATTACACAAATGTTCTCTTGTTATTTATATTTTTGCTGACGGCAATTTGATTTTTATATAATACAATTGTACAGTAATTTTGCATAAAAATGTATGCCAGAGAACATAAAAAACAGGATTTAATTAATTCGATTTCCCCATGGACAAATTGTTTTTGCATATTACATTGCAATGCCATCATAGATTTTGCCATTGAAACATTTCATACCGTTTCAGTTTCATTTGTTGTAGTAGTTAATTACTTCATTGTAATATTGTTACATTATAATTTAATCTGAGTAATAAAAATAATACTAATTAATTTTACAAGTTTCGCGGACGTAAACGAAAGGATGTTGATAGTTACAAAAAATAGAATAAATTGTGTTATAAAAACATTATAATATTGCATACTGAGTCGGATAATTTCCTTTTATGATTCGCTGTTTCTTGTGTTGATACTCGTACCTCTTCACAGGCTCCACAACCAAGCGTGACCATCCAGATTTCATGACTTTTTTTTTGGATTCTATACATCTTTAGTTTTTGTTTTCTTCTTGCAATTTTCTCATTAGATATTACTTTGTATTATTTCATGGTTTCGCTGTAAATAATTTATCGAATTACCAATTTGATCAGTGAATTCAAGACTTTTATTTAGTCCTTTTTTAAAGATCGTATAATTTCAATACACCTTGACATTCATAAGTCATCATACAAGTTGGTCAGTTCAACTTCTGACATCACCATCCGATAATGATTCAATCATGGAAAGTGTGTCGTGGCCTCCCCAGCTTTCACATCCTTGCATTTTGTTTGCGTTGCATATCAGGTTTTTTGTTCTTTAAACTGGCTTTCTTTCATCATGCCCGAACCAACGGAGCTTGTCTGTAGCTTTTACACTTTAAGTAAGTACGTGTATTAACTTAATCATTCACATGCGCGTAATATCATAAAAACAACCATGTTCTCAATTGCGTGATATCACGCGCGACAGCAAGGCTCTAGTAAATACGTTAATGCGCCTCTCTTAGCACTAGTTTCTGATTTTTTTTCCACTATAGAAATGGAAATCATGAATCCTTTATTCCGAAGTCGATTCCATAGTGTAATAGAATTAAGGCCCTCTTGTACCTCCACTTACGTCCCTATACAAATACCCATCCAGGGTAAAGACGTTATGAAACAGTTTATAATTTTAGATTATATCAAATTTCATTTTTGTATATATTTTTTATATAGTTTAAATGATTAGTCTTAAATATATTAGTCGTAAAATGGATCCAAAAAACCTATTGAGAATCATCTTTGCGATTTTTTTCTATCGAGCTAATTATTGATATTTATGTTTCTGTTATTAGCATAATATTATGATTTTTATTTGGCAAATATTATTTAGGCCTTAGAATGAAATTTGGTATTGAAAAATTTGGTATTTTCGTATAACCTCGCATATTTTTTATTTTGCTTCAGCAGCGGAAGACCGGATTTTACGCGCCATTTGCGTAAAACCAGGAATTCCAGGACTAGGTAGGTTTAACATGCTAAAAGATAAATACACGTCTGGCTTGTATTTGCACGTTCGTGTAGCGTCAAAGCCTCCCCGCAGTCGTAAATTAATTTGCTGTAAAACTGGCAACAGCGTCGCCGTCGCCCTGATTACACTGTGTATTACAAATGATTTATTTGAATATTTATTCACGTTGAAGGTAAACACATTGTCAGAACAGTACATCCTTATTAGTGTTATGAAGAGATCATGGCGTAGTGGCTAGTGAGTTCGGTTTGCAATACGTTTATAGCAACTTCCGCGACGGTTGGTCACAGGAATATGGAATTAATCTAACTCCTTATTTTATCGCTATAATACAAGTTAAGAATCATAAGTTAATTGTTAGTTTTATCTACAAATTGTCTGGAAAAAATTATAAATTCACGTTGAAACTCAATCAAAACATTTACTATTAGACATTAAATACAGTTTCCTTATATTAATAATTTCTTATTTCGACTTGAATGAATGAATGAAATATTCTTATTATACACCATACAGTCAAAAAATTGTTTCAACAAAATCAACTTAAAATAAGGCTGCAGGTGCACTGGTAACTTTTTGTGTCTGCTTGAGAATAAATGCGGTGGCGGGCAGACCTAATCACGTGATAATGATTGGGGTAAACAATGTTAAATCAGTGTTTTACTCTTTGAGTACCTAAATACTCATTGAGTTTTCGTCTTGTTGTGTTACATCTGGTTTTCTACTATTTTTTTTTCTTTTTCAATTATTTATGGAAATTTGTTACGTAAAATTTTGTGTGTACATAATGCAAATAAAAATCTATCTATCTATAATTAAGTGAATTCCGTAGAAATGACAGTCCGTAGTAAAATCAGTCACAATAAGTTACGATGACTAAAAATCGCATAGCAAGTAGCCTGAGTGATTTTTGTTTCAGCCAATACTTTGTTTCTAAATGAGCACAGTGTTATGTGGTAATATAATAATTACGAATTTTTATTTCAGATATTCTTTTGAATTAATTATCTTATCTCTAAAGGTAATTAATGATCTCTACCAAATTAACTACATATAATATAATTCTAAAATGCGAGTAATTAGTCAACCGAAAGACGTTATATGCAACAGATTTTCCTTGAAATGTTACGTTCGGGTATTATAAACAACAAAGACGTGACTCGTTTTTTTTTGTGGGCGTTCCGTTTCTCCATACAATGTCAAAATAAGGCTTATTACCGAACAAAACAATTCAATTGCAAGTACGATTATATTTGTCTACTGAATGACTTGCATATTATTCTTATAATAAATACTTTGTAGTGATTCATATACCTATTGTAGGTATTTTATGTTTGTGTCAATTGCTCATGTAAATTCATGTTTTCCATTTAAATTAACATTTAACATGTTAATAATTGTGTAATTATTATTTTTAAAGACATTTGTGTTGTAACGCTTAAGTATAGCAATTTATAATATTAAAAGAGGAAGGATTTGATTATATTTTTTTAGTTTAGAAACCTCTAGTTTTGAAGTAATCATTT